GGGGGGGGCGGCACAAGTTGTTTCCAGAGTGACTGGTGTGCTCACTGGACACACAGTTGGGCACCCGGCCATCTCAGAACTGACCCCTCCCCAAGCCCCTTCCTGGGGAAAGGAGGGGCTCTGGCCCAAAAGTTTGACACACACGGGGGGGGAGGCGGTTACATCAAGACCCCCCTCTGCAAATGGGTCCGGGGAGGGGGCATTTAGCGTCACCCCGTTCTCCCAAAAGGAAATTTTAGGCAAAGGCTGCCCGAGGGGGCCCGGGGCAGCCCTAAGGGGAACCCGCCCAAAGTTGGGCACATTGCATGATGGGAAGACGGGCCAAAGGGGAGGGGGGGGTTCCTTAGTGGGGAGACAGGAGCCGTTCCGAGCCCCCCCTCCCCTCTGCCCCGAGAGGAAGCCGCTGTGCCCACAGCGGAGGGGGGAGGCTCCTTCCTCGCAAGGAGGGCGTCCGTCCCGCCGCTCACATCTTGCCGCTGGTGCTGGCCAAGCCCCCGTCGCTGCGGGGGGACCTTCCGGCGGCCCACTCGGCCTCCCCGGGCAGGCGGGGTGGCGAGGCCTCCTTCCGAGGGTTCCCGGCGTCCGAGAGGGTCCCGGCGGTCGGTCCCAGGCGGTGTCGCCTCTCGCAGTGGCCCTTGTGGCGCATGAAGCTGTCCCGCCACATGAACTTCTTGGCGCAGACCAGGCACTGGTAGGGCTTGAGGCCCGTGTGGGTCTTCATGTGCTCCGTCAGGTGGTGCTTCATCTTGAACTTCTTGTTGCAGACGGGGCAGTCGAAGGGACGGAGGTTGAGGTGCATGTTGACGTGCCGGTCCCGCATGCTCTTGTGCGAGAAGGCCTTGCCGCAGTGGCAGAGGAAGATCTTGTTGGCTTCGCCCGAAGCTCCCGGCAACTGAACCGCTCCGTGCTCCGCCGGGCCTACGCCGGGGGCCGGACCCACCGAGGCCCCCGAAGCCGGGAAGAGCAGCAGAGGCCCGGCCGGCAGGTCCAGCGGGAGGAGGGCCCGAGGGACGGAGGTGGCCGAAGGCGGGAAGGCCACGTCCTGGGAGGACTCGCAGAAGTTGACCTGCTCCTCCGGCAGTGGCGGGGGAGGGGCGGGCGCCGCCTCGCTTAGCGTCCGCACGTCGCTGATGCTCAGAGCGGCGGGGTCGGCCGGCTCTTCTTCCTCCTCCTCCTCCTCCTCGTCATCCTCCTCCTCCTCCTCGCAGGTCAGCACCAGCCCCGCCAACGCCTCCCCGCCCGACGCCCGCCCGACACCGCGCTCCTTCTTCACCGGCACCCACGGCCGCTGCGGGACGAGGCTGGGCCGCGCGTAGGCCGGCCGGCGGGCCTCGCTGCTGCCGGGCTCGCCGTCGTCGTCCGGTTCAGCCGCGGCCCGGCGGGGGAAGGGATCCTCCGGCGGGCGGAGGCGCCGCGGGGCGGGCCGGCGGAGCAGCAGCGCCTCCTCTTCCTCCTCCCTCCCGCGATCGCCGCCTCCGCCTCCTCCGCCGCCTACGCGGAGCCCGGCGCGGGGCTGCTCGATGGGCCCTTCGCGGCGGGGGCTGAAGTAGCTGCTGCTGCTGGGCGACTGGCTCTCCCCGCCGCCTCCGGCGCGGCCTCCGGAGCAGCAGCCGGAGGTGGAAGAAGAGGAGGAGGAGGCGGCGGCGTCCTGGGCGAGGAGCTCGGGCCGTCTCTGCCGCTCCTTGAGCAGCTCGGTGCACTTATCGACGATGTGCCACATCTGCAGGACGCTGCCCACCGTCAGGAAGTTGACCAGGTCGTCGCGTCCCATGCGGAGCCGCCCCGTGTAAGCCGAGCCCAGCACCAGCTCGAAAGCGGCCGGGTCCATGACGCTGGGCAGCACCACGGAGCTCATGTTCTTCAGCAGCACCTGGTCGTGGAAGTAAGGCGAGCAAGCGGCCAGCACGGCCCGGTGAGCCCGGAAGACGCGGCCTTGCACGTGGATGGCCAGGTCGCAGAGCTGCCCTTCCACCCGCTGCTGGTTCAGCGCCTCCAGCAGGGCGCGCGTCGCCTCCGGGAAGGCCACCTGCACCGCCTCCGCCATGCCGGCCGCCCGGGCGCCCTCTGCGCAGGCGCCGCGCCTCCCGGGCCCCGCCCCCGCGGAAAAAGAGGCAGGCAGGCTCCGTGAACAAAAAATAAGTCTTTACTCTCCTCCGGGCCCCGCCCCTCCCCTGACCCCGCCCCCCCCCCCCCCCCCGCCCCGCCCGCGCGGAAAAAGAGGCAGGCGGGCTCCGTGAACAAAAAATAAGTCTTTACTTTCCTCCGGGCCCCGCCCCTCCCCTGACCCCGCCCCCTCTCCCCCTAGCGGCTGCTACTCCGAGTCGGAGAGGACGATGATCTCCTCCGGGTCGCACTGGGTGGCCACGCTGGTCTGTGGAAGGGAGGGGGGGGGAGAAAAGGGAGAGGGAGAGAAGTCAGTGGAAGCCCCGCCCCCGGCGCTCCTCGCTCCTCCCTCTCTCCTCCTCCCCTCCCTCCTCACCCTGGTGAGCAGCAAGTCTTCCAGCGAAGTTGGCTTCATCCTGGTCGGCTGCTGCTGCTGCTGTGGCCGGGGGCTGCCCTGGCTGCTGGAGACCAGGCCCATCCCGGGGGAGTCCGGGCGGGTGGAGTCGGCCAGGGGTCCCGGGCTGCTGCGGGAAGGCTGCCACTCCTCCCCCTCGGAGCCCGAGCTGGGCACCCGGATGCAGACGCCGTCCCCGGGGGGGATGGGGAGGGGGGTTGTGCTGGTGATGTTGCTGCCGGGCAGAGAGAGAGAGAGGGGCCAGCTTGTGAGATGATGAGGGGGGAGGGGACAGGCAGCCCCTCCCCCCCAGTGTCTGCATCCCCTCCCCAGGCCCCGTACCTGCTGCTGGAGCCCACCGCCTGCCCCTGAGGCCGGCTCCTCTTGCTGGGCGGCTGCCCGTTGAGCTCCCCGTTCTCCAGCGAGTGGCTGCGCTTGAGGGCCGCCGGGGGGCTCCTGGAGGCCGGGCTCTGCTGCCCCCCTTTCTCCTCCTCTTGCTTGAGGTGCAAGAGCAACTGCTGGGGAGGGGAGTCCGGGAAGCCTTCCTCTTCCTCCTCCTCCTCCTCCTCTACTGAGAGCAGGGCCACCTCAGGCTCCTCCGTGTCCATCTGCTGGTCAGCGTCCCCGTCTGCAGCAGGGGGCTCCTCACCTGGGTGTGGGGGCGCGGGCAGGGTCACCCCAGGTCACCCGGGAGTCCCCCCCTCCTCCCCCAGGAACTGTAGGGCCAGCAGAAGAGCCCCCCCTCCAGGCTATTAATGCAGGCTGACCCTGCGGAACTCATTGCCACAAGGAGCCCCTTCAAGGGGGAAGGGGGGCCCCCACACGGGCCACTTTAGTCACCCACCCACCCACCCGGGGTACCTGCCGCTGCCGCTGCCTCCTCCTCTTCCTCCTCCTCTGCATCATCCAGGCAGTGGGCCAACTCCCTGTCTAGGTCTGACTCAGAGTCCGAGTCTTCCTCCTCCTCTTCCTCCTCCTCCTCCTCGTCTTCCTCTTCGTCCCACGTTCCCTTCTTTTCACGGACCTCCTTGGGCCCTGCACTGTCCTAGGGCAAAGGCCGGGTATGTGGGCGGGGTGGGGTTCCACTTGCCCGGGACCCCCCCCCCCCCCCGGGGCCCCGGGCGGGGGGTGGACCCAACCACCCCCCCCCCCCACCCCCCCCCCCCCCCCCCGCCGAGGGGATCTTCACTGGCTGGTTATGGGGGGAGGGGGAGGCTGGAGAGGGGTGGAGGGCAACTTAGTTCTAGGCGGACTTTGCTGCAGCCAGCAGCTCTTCGGGAAAGGAAACGCTCCCTTCGGTCCAACGGGAGTCGAGGGTCTTTCTTTCCGAAGGAACCTCCCCAGGGCAGGCCTGACACAAACCGTCTCGGCCCTCTGTGGGACGGGACGACCTCGGCAGGCATTTGGTGAGCGTGACCCCAGCTGAAGGGATGCTGGGCCGGCCCCAAGGCCCTTCCCCCAGCTCAACACCCGCCCCCTTGACTTGACCCTGTGGCCCAGCAAAGCGGCTGAGATGGGAGTCCAGCAGGGTATGGCCCCCTCAAAGGCGGGAGGTTAGGTCCCCCC